CATCCGCGTGATGATCCCTTACATACTTCGGCCTCTACCTGTTGTGCTTCATAGCCTGCTGAGAGACAGAGGCATGAAAGCCGACCTATCCGGCCGGGCTGATATCAAGATAGCATGCTTCCTTTTCTCGCTTAATCACCCCCGCCTCCCTGTCGGAGTATACCGACCACTATGAACCAGAAAAAAAAAACAATCGCTGGCGAGGCGTGAACAGGTGCTGCCTTCCAATCCGACCCTCCATATGCCATCTAATAATGTTTATTGGGCGATCATTCCTGCAGGAGCTAAGAGCTAACCTAATCCGAATGAGGTTTGGAGATCATCTCGACGGCGCCGGGGTTTGGTTTTGTGATTGAGACTCTTCTTAATGGCTAACTTACTAGTCATTATTTCTGGGGCATGAGAGGACGACTACTTAGGTATAGGCACTTGCATAATTTGGTACTTTTGTCGAACCTCATGGCAAGAGAAAAAGCATGAGAAAAATAGATCATCCAACCAGATTTTTTTTTCCCTATGAAAAAGAAAAGAGGAAAAAGAAAAACAAAAAACAAAAACAAACCACAGCGGGATTTATCAACCTCATGTCTACGCAATCCAGAACCGCAGACCACGCCAACCACGCCAACCAAGAGCGAGAAAGAGAGCGACAATGGGATAATGATTTGCGCGTGCGAGGAAAGATTCTTCATCTGCTCTGGCTTCATCCGTCGCACTGGCACCCACCCTCTCGCCAATCATGCATGCACTTCAGCTCAGAGCTAACACGCCCTGGTACTCAATCGGGAAGATGGTCTCTGACAGGTCTTATGCCCGTCGACGGAGAGAATCCGTCCCTCAATCAATGAATGAATGAATGAATGAATGACTGAATTAATGCTCATTTCATTCGGTCCGCAAGCGACGATCTGGACCAGCGCAGGCCAACAGGTCTGACAGGCTTAGAGAAAATTTGGATGCTTGACCTGCAGCTTACTGACTTGATTATCCGTACGGAGAGAAGACATGCCAACCCCATACGGCATCTCCCCCAAGACTCGCTGAACACGTTATCGCGCGTGGGGTTGACGATGCGATGAACTGAAAATCTCTTGATCTCCCTCATTGCTTTTTCTTTTCTTGTTTCTCCCCCCTTTTCGTTTCTTTTTTGTTTTCTTTTGACTTTCTCCCATTCTCTCACAGCCTTCCATCTCATTCCCGCATCCCTTCCTCTCTCATTAGGTCCTGCTGAGAGATTTGTTTCATCACTATCCAGGGTGGTGGTGATTCCAGTCACATTACAATAATCCTCATAGTCTCATCCTATCCCGCTTTGCTTTTGCTTTTCTACTTATCCGTTTGCACCCCCTCAGTTTCTATTTAGTTTTACCATCCCGACTTCCTGTCTCGCAAGGATAATTCCTTTGGACTTTGCAAATCTTTCCTTCTCCTGGCACAAGTCCTAATCTTCCCAGGCAGATCCCCGCGTCGCTTGTTCAAACGCAAACGCCTCTCCTTCAGCTTCTGTTGATGCCTCAAGCTCGGGCCCGGCTTGCCCAGATTGCACTTCGTTTCAAGCACCGGCAACTAGCACGAAGCTCACGCATTACTCCTGCTGAGAGTAGACAAAAAAGAATCAGGCGGGAAATGTTCTTGCGCTGCTCTTCTTGTCCCTAACAAGAATCCCACAAGCTTCGTTGCGAAAAAAAATCCTGTTTTGTCCCGTCTATATAACCTACCCGCCCAATTTTATCCTAGTAGCTTGGTCTATCCCCTGCGCTGCGCTATTCTCTTGTACCTCAGACCGACCACGGCAGAGCCTCGGCTTTCCAGAGTCAGCACAATGAGGGTATGCTTGCGTTCGCCCTGTCTTGCTTGAAACAGATAGCGCTATTGAAGGATTTACAGACTAAAGAACCTCTCCATAGGCCTCCAGAAACAATACCCTCTGGGAAGAATCCAATGATATTCTTCGGGGCATCAATGGCTCACGAGCAACGCCAACATCATCACATAAATATACCTCATCCGACGGGCTGACCCCGCCAGCAATATGCCTCGATAGCTCAGCATCTTCGAGGGGGTTCCAATTTGGCTCTGACTCCGCAGCTCCTCCACCCCGGCTGACATCAATCCTCGGCCGGTACTTTCCATGTCATGACCCGGCATCATCTCCCTTTGCTCAGAGCTTCGACTCTTCCCAGTACCCACTGGCCCGGTTCGCAGCAGATCAAGATGTTTGGACGCCGCTTCAAGTGACCGGCCTACCAACCCATGCCGGATCTCTCATGTGTCCCCCGATAGGGGCAAGTCAACAATGGTCTGGCCTCGATCGCAGACTCTCTACAGGTCACTACAGCACGCCATCTGAGACCGACAGCCAATATGCTAGTCTCCATCCATCGGAGTCAGGGTATAGCACGCAAAGTTGCACCACTCGCTCAGTGGCCGCATCTTACGCAATCGACCCAGCTTGCAGTCCCTACTCCGCACCATTCGAACTAGAACAGGATGAACGGCTATCTGTTTTAGACCTGAACACTGCTTCCTATGGAGATCCAATGGATGTATTAGAGCGAATGCAGTCTCCATCTCTCCTGGGTCCTGATGCGATCAAGTGTGATTACTCTGACTGCCAATGGACTGGGAAATGTCCGTCTGATAAGCGGTAAATCCATTGACCGACTCCATGCACGTGTTTCTGGCTAGCTAACAGCCTCCAGCAAGCACGAAGCCCGACACAGAAAGCTGTTCAAATGCGATGAGCCAGGTTGCACTCGAAAAGATGGCTTTGGAACTATCAATGACCTGGCACGTCATAAGAAGTGTGTCCATAAGCAAGAACCAGAACGCGGGCCCAAAGTAGTGTATATGTGCTTTGGAGTCAAGTGCCCTCGCAAGAATAAAAGATGGCCTCGCTTAGATAACTTCCGCCAGCACCTTACTCGGATGCACAATGATGAAGATGCTGAGGAACTGCTGAGAAAGTGAGTCTCGTGCCGATGTGTCGAAGCGAATCATATCTGACGATGCTAACCCCCGATGAAGATCCCAGGAGTGGTACGAAGACTGCCTTAAGCCGCAAGTGATGGCATCGTCGATGATGGATCATCTTTCGGAAGCCAGTAGTCCACAGATACAGGACATGATTGACGAGTCACGGGACAGATCCGAAGATCCTCAAGTGCCACCTTCTCTCCTATGCGAAAGGGCTCGGGCGGAACTGGACACGACAACCCCCGGCTCAGTTAGTGACGAGCAAGCCCGTCCAAGTCTCAGCCGTGCCACCCCTAAACCTGCGCATTCAAGTCCACAGGCTGTCGAACTACCACCACTGGATTCTCTCAGCTTTGACGGGTCACTAAGTCCGCGAACGACTTTTGCGGCTCGGTCGGACATCTCTCGAGGTGGCAAGAGGGAAGACATGGTAGCTGAAGCAGCCATGAACTTGATTACTACCATGACAAAATCCATGAATATCACGCAGCAGCGACAAGGGCAACAGTCTAAAGACGCAGAAAGTGCTGCAGAGCAGGAGGCCGAGTTGGCCAAGCTGAAGCGGGAGATCTTGCAAACAATTCTGACGACCGCCTTGGGCATGCTAAACCAAAGCTCGGAGCCATATCCATATGGTCGCCAACTTCAGGAGGGAAGTTCCGCCGTGCATCCCGATCAGAGGAAATGGATTCAGTGTGAATTCTGCAGCAAGAAGACGCGGTTGCGTTGTGAGATGAAGTATGTTCAAGGCTCTGTGAATGTGGACGTGGACCGACAGCTAACTTTGCGATACCAGAAAACACCAGAAGCGTCATGAACGTCCATACACTTGTACTTCCTCGCACTGCAATAAGACTTTTGGAAGCAAGGAGGACTGGAAAAGACATGAAAACTCACAGCACTTTCATTCGAAAAGCTGGCGTTGTACACTACCGGACGCTACCAAAGAGGACCTACCGTGCGCCCGTTTGTTCTACCGCCAGCAAACTTACGTCCAGCACCTCAAGAAACACCATGAGATGGATGCGGAAGATGAGGTCCGAGCGGTTCTTTCTGATAGTCGCATCTCCCGGGACGGGCGGGCGTCATTTTGGTGTGGCTTCTGTCGGAAAGACCTCCCCTTGGGCCATGAACTCGAGGCATGGAATGAGCGCTTCGACCACATTGATACAGAACATTACAAGAAAGGCGAGCGCATCGAAGACTGGGTGTCTCCATCTGATCAGCTTACCGGAAATCGGGAACTACACGGAGGAGATGATTCCATGTCGGCTGATGCTGGGTGCGATAGCGAGCCGACCATAGCTGAGCACAGCGGAGGCGACTGTGCACATAGCGATGGACGATCGGAAGAGGGCGAACACATATCTTCCTACCAGGATCAGATGCTGCTGGATGATGATGATGAACCTGCCCGAAAACGACCTACAGACCAGTCGAGGGGTTCCCTGCCGTCCACGTCATCACAATCACGCCTTTCCTGCCGTCCCAGAAACACGAGGAAGAGGAAACTCTCGGTCCTCTATTCCGCCCCAAATGTCGGCCCATGTGAAGCTCTCAGGACCGAATGTGCGAATCCGGAGCCACCATATATCGATGGATATTTAGGTAGCTATAGCATCGACTCACAGATTCAACCACAGCATACCCTTTGACAAGCTGGATATTATGGTGCAAAGTCAGTCACCGCGGCGTTTGATCCAGGAAGTGGAAATATGCAGTGTTGACGTTCGAGAGTTCTGTGCGATAAGCGTGTGAGCAGATCGAAATGCTATGCGTTAACTGAAGTTGAACTCATAGGAGCGAGAAAGATCATATTTGCCCCGGTACCAGTCGAGTTTTATGTGCTATGTGATGTGATGTATAAATGCCTGCGGGTTTCTTTTCTCTTTCCCAAACTATGTGCAGCATTCTATACGATAAACGTGTACTTCTTGACCTCAATTACCCCTATCAATCAAGGGATGCAGACATACAAGTACTAAACACCTTTCTTTTTATTCTCAACCATTCCCATGTAGGAAGCGACATTGATGCATGGGGTATATACAATGGCAGATGCAGGTGGATAGAGTACAATCGATAGCAAGGAACACGGCGCCATTAACTATTCCAATAGATCCAGTCGAGACCCGAATACTCAAGCATGCAAGCATTTACATCTTTTTCTGCGTGCCTGTCAATTCTCGAGCCTTTTCCTCAAGAGCAGTGACTTCCTCTATCGCTAGTCAGAATATCAAGGTCGACCCATATAGAACGTAATCAAACAAGGATACAATAATATCACGGCGGAGCCAGGGTTCGAACTTACTATTCTTCTCGTACTTGGATTCGTCCATCTCAAGCTTCAACCACGTCCAATGGAGAACCTGGAAGGTGAAGACGGCGCCCAGGAAGACTTTGGCAAAGGGGCTGATGAAGAGTTTGTACCGGGCCATCTACAATTCTGTAAGTAACGCCTGGGAGAAATAAGTGTGGATGAGGAGAGGAAGATAGTTAGCTCCAGTGGTCGCTTACGCCGTCTCGGTAGGCACTAGACGCTGGGTCATTTGATGCATTCAGTCTGGTGCGGGTAGTGGTAAAGGTTCTTTGGGTGACGGAGGCGATGGTAGGGCCTCGTACTGAGCCGCGAAGAGCGCCGGCTAGGAGAGAATTGATGGTCATTTTCTTTTACAAGATTCTGGGTGGTAGTCCAGTAGAGGATGATCGGTAATCGGATTGAAAGAGATAGCCTTCGAATTGAATGTAATTTGCAAGATAGGGTTGCCAGCTTGCAGCTTGGATAGTGCGTGCGCTGTCTGATGATACACCTCGAACAGCGCGGGATTGACTGCGAATGAGGAAGATGTTCCGAATGGGGCTAGTCCCAAGTCTCTCCAGCAGAACTGACTGACTCAGCAGTCACATGATATCAAGCGAGGGCGGCAAACTGGGACCGAATCAGGCGCAGGGGGACCCGGCGGCACTTAGGCGAGGGCGAACAGGCGGGGAAGAGTCAAAAAGCGATAAGCTTTGCGGGCCTGGGAGGAAAGCAAAAGCTCGTTCCTGATCTGTGAGCTCTTCTCTTTCTCAGCTCCTCCTCCCTACGTGTCCGAAGGGGCCGGCGACAGGTGTCGGAAAATTCGACAAAATCCCGTCGAAAACACGCTCAACCCATCCGCATCATTCATATTGCGACATCTACGAGATCATGCAAGCCTTTTTGGGGCAGTTGGGGTGGATTGGCAGGGGGGGAAGCTGGCAGTCTGAAGAAGCCAAAAGGCGGGTTTGTTGTTGATTTTTGAGGGGTGGGTTTGCAAAGCCCGCTTTTGGGGTCCGCCAAACCGTGACTGGCAGTCTGGCGACACCGCGGACCGGGAGGATGGCACGTGCCCAGACCGTCTAGTCAGAGACTAAACCTAAATAGGGACTAATGATGGCGCCTAACTGTGGCGCGGGGAACGGAACAGCTGTGGCTGGGTATGGCTAGGCAAGTCTTGCCTTTGCCAAGTTGCTATGCTTGCTGCTGCTGCTGCTGCCGCCGCGCCCTTCGATCTTCACCCGTCTGTCTGGTCTCTCTTGTCTATCCGCCCACATCCATATACCACACCCCCCGGTCACTTCACCCGGCACTTCTCATTGATTTCCTTCCCTCCTTCTGTTCTTTCTCGTCATGCTGTCGATCGGTATCGTTCCTGGTACGGAGTAACTTGCCTTGTTTCCTCTTTTTACAGGAAGGTCTCAACTTACGGAGGGGATCTTTTCGCCTCAGTTCTTCCATTCTTTTGATTCTGTTTTCTTTCCCTGTCCATCGACCTCTGGGTTCTCTCAACCTCTCCCAGCTCCGCCTAGCGACTGCATGCGACGCGTTCTGACCTCTCTGGTGTCTCGCATTACTTCTTGCTCCAATTCTTTTTTCTCTTCCGGGATCGATTCACCTCGCGCGTTGCTGTCACCTTTGCACTGCGCGTCATATATACGACCTGCCTCGGTTCTCGCGGGCGCAAAACGGGGCTCTGCCGATTTTCGTTCAACTTAGTAGCCGCCAATAGTCAATGCTTACTGCTTGGTGAGCGCAAGGACAATTGCTTGTTGGTGCTGTTCCATGAGCCCGCAGTCTTTCCCCTCTCATTGAATCTGAGGTGTTTGTCTGGGGTTGTTGTCCGCTGCACAATACATTGAATCAACTGGCTTTACTGAAACGCTTCCAACAGCCGTTTTGTGCCGAGTGAGTGTTACTTCCCACGCGACCAATTCACTACCTTTCCGCATTGTTACTGGAGCATCGGGCGCACTGACACACCAACCCCTCCAACAAGAAACACCATCGAACACATCACCATGCCTCGTGCCAAACGCTCCATCGAGGAGATGGCCAACAAGTCAGACTCGGATGATGACGACTACAGTGATCATCCGGCGCGGTCGGCTCGACGCTCCGTCTCCCGGTCAAAGTCGAAGAAGAAATCCAAGCCTGCAAAGAAACGAGCCCGTCGCGGTTCGGACGACGACATCATCTCAGATGACGACGATATTTTCAGTGAGGACGAGGTTTCCTTTGAAGAATCGGAGGAAGAGGATGACGAAAATGCCCAACGGAATGCCAGAGGCCTAGTTGCTAGACGAGCCGCTACTAATCGACCGGTCTATAACGAAGGCGATACCAGCAGTATCGAAGATGACACCCCAGACGACGATGAAGCTGACGTACAAACATCCCCGAAGAAGCGCAAAAGTACTGTTGTCAAGCTGAAGGTTGGTAACGCACTCAAACGACAAGCGCAGGCGCCACTAGACAATTTTCAAGGCACTCGCCGGGTGACGAGACGTACGCGAGATCCGTCGGAGGATATCTACGCCCTTACGAACTCAGGTCGTCACATGGAGACTGTCGAGCGAGGAACTCAGAGTCCGGAGATGGAAAGCAGGCTTCGACGGGGTTCCAGGGCATCGAAACGCATACCTGTGCTAGACGAGGAAGAGGAAGGCGAATTTCTTACGAAGCAGGAGGAAGAGGAGGTCATTGACGAAACGACCACCGAAATCAAAGGCTCGCAGCTTGAAATCTTGGAGAGCGATGTTCAAGTCAGTTTTGAGGGAGCTGTACCAAATCCCACCCAGAATGAGGATGATGGAGAAGGTGAGGATGAAGGCTTCGTTCCTGAATCCGAGAATGGCGATGCAAAGGCTGGCGTTGAGGAGGATGGAAACGACGAAGACGATGAGGAAGGGCCAATCACCAGAAGGAGATTGAGACCAATTCGGGGTCAGCCAGCGGAAGATGAAGTCGACCAGCCCCAGGAAGACCAAGAGGAGGAACCACGTCGATCTAGTCGCAAGAAACCCAACAGCTTTCAACGCAAGCGTCGGGAAGAGGAAAGTGATTTCGAACCCGAAGAAGATTCAAACGACGATGACGAAGTTTCCCACTCCGGCAAGTCGAACGCTTCTCCGCGCAAAGCCAGCCAAGCTCGTGATGACGATGATGACGACTACAGCACTACTGGTCGTCGTCCTGGCTTGCGCAAAAGGGCGTCTCGATCACGTGGCCAGTCGGAGGCAGGAGCTGATATTGCCGAGGAGCTAGCCGAAGAATTGGAAGACCTGCGAGGAAGTCGGTCTCGCCGTCGAGTACAACCTGAGATTGTCTACGAGAAACCTCGACGCAGTCGGAAAGATGTCGACTACCGTATCATTCGCCCGGATCTCATCCTGCCCATCGAAGAAGCTGAGAACGAGATCAATGAATCGCCTTCGCGTCGGGGCCGCGGAGGGGGTGGCGGCAGTTGGCAGCGTACTCTGTTTCCCACTTACGGGCCTTTCGGAGGTGGCGGGCCATCTGCGATATTGGGTCCTCCTGGAGCACCCGCTGCGACGGGGGGTGTGGACAGCGATAGCAGTGATGATGAGGTTATGCAGCATCCTAAGACTGGGATCAGTGGGTCATTTTCGGCACCTGGACTACCCGGAGCTGGTCTTGTCGGTCAAACTCATGGCAATGACGCCGCGCAGGGCCTCTCGGGCACCCCTGCGAATCTCGGGAAAGTCAAAGATAAACAGACCCTGGCCGATGCGGATCCACTGGGGGTAGATATGAACGTCAACTTCGATAGTGTGGGAGGCCTACAAGGACACATTGACCAGTTGAAAGAGATGGTCTCTCTGCCACTGCTGTACCCGGAGATATTTCAGCGTTTCCACATCGTGCCCCCTCGTGGTGTCCTTTTCCATGGACCTCCCGGCACAGGAAAGACCCTGTTGGCAAGAGCTCTCGCTAACAGTGTCAGCTCGAATGGTCGCAAGGTCACTTTCTACATGAGAAAGGGAGCCGATGCCTTGAGTAAATGGGTGGGTGAAGCAGAACGTCAGCTTCGGCTTCTCTTTGAGGAGGCTCGCAAGACACAACCCAGTATAATCTTTTTCGATGAGATTGATGGTAAGTCAGATTGCTTTTTATCCAGACGCAACCGTGTAGCTTCATGATTTGACCAACCTCTTACCTAGGTCTGGCACCTGTTCGGTCAAGCAAACAGGAACAAATCCATGCCTCAATTGTCTCCACTCTGTTGGCGTTGATGGATGGAATGGATGGTCGTGGTCAAGTGATTGTCATCGGAGCTACGAATCGACCGGACTCGATTGACCCTGCGCTTCGCCGGCCCGGTCGATTTGATCGCGAATTCTACTTCCCTTTGCCGAATAAAGACGGGCGACGTTCCATTCTAGATATCCACACAAAAGGCTGGGAACCGCCGCTTCCGGATAATATCAAGGACGAGCTTGCAGAGATTACCAAGGGCTATGGAGGAGCTGATTTACGAGCTCTTTGCACGGAAGCCGCCTTAAATGCGGTGCAGAGACGGTATCCCCAAATTTACAAGTCTAATCAGAAACTTGTCATCGACCCGAAAACTATCGATGTCGCACCGAAAGATTTCATGCTAGCAATCAAGAAGATGGTTCCCTCGTCGGAGCGATCGACCTCCTCCGGCGCTTCACCATTGCCCAAGTCGGTTGAACCTTTACTGCGTGCACCGCTTGCTGAAATTGAGAGCCTGGTGTCTGAGATCCTACCGCAGAGAAAGCGACTCACTGCGTTGGAAGAGGCACAATTTGAGGAGCCCGCTGGGGGTGGCTTCCAGCGCGAACAATTGCAGCAAGAGTTCGACAGGTCACGAGTCTTCAGGCCTAGACTGCTACTTCGCGGTCCGCTGGGTATGGGTCAGCAGTATCTGGCAGGAGCCCTTCTGCACCACTTCGAAGGTCTGCACGTTCAGGCATTTGACCTTCCAACCCTTCTCAGCGATTCCACTCGATCTCCTGAGGCTGCCATCATACAGCTTTTTGCTGAAGTGAAGAGACATAAGCCCAGCGTGATCTATATTCCCAACATCCACACTTGGTCTGAAACTGTTGGGCAGGCTGTGATTGCCACTTTCTTGGGGCTACTTCGATCGGTTCCTCCCACAGATCCGGTGTTGCTATTGGGCGTTCAAGAGTCGAATAGCGAGGAATTGGACAATGGACTGATGAGAAACCTGTTCGGGTACTCCAAAAAGAATTTCTTTGACCTCAAGGCGCCAGGCAATGATGCACGTTATGAGTATTTTACCAAGGTAATCGACTACATCAAGACGTCTCCAGCCCACTTTCCTGATCCCGAAAATCGCAAGCGCCGGGAGCTTGAAACGTTGGAGATCGCGCCTCCACCGCCGCCCAAGGCTGCCACCCCGCCAAGCAAGGAGCAGCTCAAGGCCCAGAAGAAGAAGGATTACCAGACCCTCAATCTCCTGAAGATTCGGATTCAGCCTATCATGGATCAAATTAAGAAGTACAAGAGATTCAGAACGGGCGTGATTGACGAGTCTCAGATCCGGTACCTCTGGGAGGAAGAAAATCCGAGTATTGTTACCAGTGATCTGCCAATCGAACAACGGACTACCTTCCGACCGTTCGAGAAGGCTTTCGACAAGCACGGCGTTCCCGGACTACGTGAAACGGTATCGGGCAAATTCTTCTACAACCTGGAGATCGTGACTATCGAGAAACGGCTTTCCAACGGGTACTACAAACGACCGAAGGACTTTTTAGCGGATATCAAACGGTTGGCGAAGGACGCGCGGCAGTTAGGTGAACAAGAAAGGCTGCTCAGGGCCAATGAGCTCTTGTCCAATGTCGAGGTTGACATCGCTACCATCGAGCAGGCCGAACCGGCCCTTGTTGCCGAGTGCGAGGGTGTCTATGTCCGGGAGTTAGAGAGAGAAAAGATCGCGCTGGAACGGGCTCGAAAGGCAGCAGAGGAAGACGAAGGGGGCTTTGTCGGACGGCTGACCGCTAACTTGGTTCCACACGGAAATACCGAGTCTGGTCCATCAAGTGGTCCCGTTGTTCTCGGAGAATCGTTCCCTGACCTCGGGCCCAAAGACACAGGAAGGCCAGTAACGCCTACACGACCATCGACGGTGAGCTTCACAAACGGCTTTCACCACGGTGGTGGCTCGGATCTGAACGACCTCAGCACGCAAGCAGTCACAAGCAACGGCTCCCACGACTATCAGGCTGATGGCGATGGGGATACATACATGACAACCTCGGATCAGTCGACAGGGCGCGACACACAAACCAGTTCATTCGGGCCCTCTGCACAGCCAAAGCCAGCATATTCCCATACAGCACCTTCACAGCAGGTCCGACGTGAATCCGGCATCTCCAGCTTTTCTCAAAAAGGGCCTGTTACCCCCTTAGCACCTGGATCTCAACCCCATGACTACACCAATGAGGCGTCTACCACGCAGACAACGTCCGACAAAAAGTCATCGGAGCAATCGTCAATCCCGCAAAACCACTTGCATAGTCCTGTGACTGGTCACGGGATCCGACATGAGTTCCCGGATCTTACACAGTACCCCGATCGTGTGTCCCAGGAAGAACACCTGCCGGACACACAGCAAGGAGACAGCAGCCAGCCTTCACCACGCCTCCAGGGTGGGTATGCTGATTTGGTTCATATTGACAACGGAGGGGCATCTCAGCAACGCGCCCAGCCTCCAGTTCCTCTGTTCGAGACTGCTGGCAAGCACTCCGCTCATGTGCCGGCAAACCTGCAATCTTTGCTGAATAATGAAGACCTTTCACCTAAGTTGATTTTGGATCAGGAGTACGTTCAGAGTTTGCACAATCAGCTTACGCAGAGAACGAGCGGCTGCAGCGTGGAGCAGTTGGAGCAGATCAACACGAATCTGATGGACTATCTCTGGCAATCGCGCAGCGAATGGAATCGCAGCAGAGTAGCTGCTGGAATTCGCGACACGTTCAACGACGTTCTGGAAGACATGTTGGCTATGCAAGAGATTGGGCCCATCAGCCAGAAGACGAAAGAACTCCTGGGCGAGTCTGCGTATCACTCGTAGGCCCTATTCTCAGGACCGGCTGGCTACACTCCGATGTGGATTTATTTCTCGTTTCTTCTCATTTAGTTTCGTCTCGTGCGCGGTTTGGTTCTAGGGATACCTCTTTGAAGTGACAATGGTTTTATGTAATAGGCTGTATGGCAGATGCCGCCGTCGGCTTTTCAGTGGTTTACAAGCTTCTGTTCCCTTTGCATGGCTGAATCATACCTGGCTTGGTTATGGGTTCTCGCATTGATTGGTTTCATCATACCGGGGCGGTGCAGGCTTCGTTTATTGGGTTGCCTGATCAGACTCTTTAGGTAGTAGTGCAGCTGTAATATCTCTGGAAGGTATTCGTGCTGTCGTACTCAGTAGCATTATTTTTATATGTAGATAGAAATGTTGTGGTCAATCAACTATTGCTTATCGATAAAGGGTCCAGACATGTGACACGGCCAAGACACCAGCCTGGCCTTTAGCTTAACTTAACTATTTTTCCTTACCTAAGTTACTAGTAACTTACATTGATCCATTCCGCCTTCTGCTTCCGCGTGGCTTCAAAACCACACCCACTCGTTCCAATTGTTTACCACGATTATACACAACATACTCTTCAAGATGGTGGACTGGATCTCCCTCGCGGTGCCGTTTGCCTACCTGGGCGTTCTACTCGGCTCTCTCGCGACATTCTCCTCTCTCTACCGCAAGCGCAAAGCCAGTACGTATTGACGGTCATGATGCATCATCCATCTCTTCCCTAGCCCTCCAAACCACCACAAACCCAGCTCCCCCCTTCCTAGACATTTCACTGCAACCAGAGCTCTCCTACACACCCGCGCGAATCTTTACTGACTGCCAACCCGCCAACAGCGAAGGCATTCTCCCTGGAGCCATGGTTCCCCGCCCACGTGCAACGCGATATCTATTTTAACCTGCTCCACCTCGACCCCCCGAAGGACAGCGGCAAGGAGAAGAAGGGCCCCGCGGTGCCGGAGTCGGTACTGAAGGCGGCGTTGCTGCGCCGCGCGATCGAGGACATCAAGCGCGTCATGCAATTGAGATCGCAGAAGCAGGCCCTGGCCATGTTGTTGCAGCGCGGCAGTGTGGGGGATGATCTCTGGCAACGGTTCACACGCGCGGAAAAGGAGATGGAGGAGGAGGTGCGGGATGTTGTTGCTGAGGTTTGTTCTTCTTTTCCTTTTTTTTCTCTTCCCTCCCCTTTCGTTTTGTCTTAAATTGGTTTTCCTATTTTTTTTTGGTATGAGTAGAGAGTCGGGTTGACACGTTCGGATCTAGGCGAATGCGTACGTTCCCGGCTGGGGTCAGACGATCTTTCAGTCGGCCAACGAGATGCTGAATAATGATCTCTACCGGGAACGCATGGAGAAGGAGCAGGCTAAGCTCGAGGAGGAGCGCAAGTGGTGGGAGAAGAAGAGGGCGAACACTCAGGAGGAGTTTATGAAAGAGCTGGATGCTGAGGCGGCGAATGCGACGCCCTCGAGGAAACAATCCGAGTCCTCTGCCCCCGCCGCTCCTGCTGCTGCTACCCCTACGACCCCGACCGCTACGAGTGGTGCCGCCACGCCGAATTCCTCCACGCCGGCGATCAAGACCCCCGAATCGTCGTCCGGGGCGCCGCCTTCCGTGGCGGGAAGCAGTGATGATGATGGAGTGTTGGTCGAGGCGGATGAGCAAGGAAAGAAGTAGACGAGGTTCCATGTGTCTGTATGGGATTGGGCTGCTTTCAGTGTGAACTTTTCGACTTTTTTTTTTCTCTCTCCCGGTGTGGTGATATTAAGTGCTGTTCTTGAACAAGGTTATGTCCCGGTTTCACTTCTGATCGAAGTCCATTGGTCGCGCTGTATTTCCCATTGAGTGGGAAAAGAAAAGATTCTTTTGTTACATCAAGATACACCAGCCCCAAGAGAGGAAATGTTCATCCGTTTTACAACATACTAGAACCATTTTATATATACACGAAACGAGACCGATGAGAACCTCCCCCAAAACGCCATCTATACTAACGCTGCAAGCCATATTCCAAGGTAGGCGCCAAATATCGCGGGTAAACACGCTTTTCGGACAACTTCACAACAGTTGGCTATCGCCCTCCATTGCCGACCCCAGATCAATCCCGGACACTGCCATCTCGTCTGACACCGACCTGATTTGCGATTCAACGAGACTCGGGTTGTTGGAGATTCGGTTCATTACCGCACGCAGAAGCTCAACCATGATCTCCAGCTGGTACTGCTCTTGCTCGACCAGTTCCAGCCCCTGCAACGTTTGACCCCGGGCCTCGAGCGCGGCCGTCTTACGGTTATTCAGGAGCTGCACCAGTGTCTGCACATGCGCGACACTCTCCTTGCTTTTGGGGGTGCTGGAAAGGCGGCGGAGACGACGTTTGGGTGTGTCGGCCGGGACGCCGGCCATGCGGGCCACCTGAAGAACGATGATCCTGGCGGTGGTTGCATCCGGAGCAAAGCCGAAGGTGGCGCGCATCGCGTGGAGAGCGACGAGCGTGCCCGGGAGGTCCCTGGATAGGCAGAAGCAACGGATGATCTGGTCGTATAACTCCTTGGAGAATTCTTCCCGTGCGAGTGACTGACCGCGGGCCGGGAGCTGAGCGAACCACCGTACCATTTCCGAGAAGAGAACGCGAGCGCTGGGGAAGCCGGCCACAAAGGCGGTCCGGCTACGGTCGTACTGGAGCTTGCCGCAATCCCATAAGCAGGCGAAAGTCTCGAGGTCCGGTCGTGTCACGGTGCACAACGATTGATATTTCTGCCACAGGGCCTGTATGTCTTGTTTCCGAAGTTCCGCGTAGAGAAGGTGGTTCATGAAGTACGAATTGGGCTGAAGGCGCGCATCGCCTAGACATTTGATCAGGTATTTGACCATGTCTTCGTCGCTCCTTCGAGTGTAGTGAAGAAGGAGGATCGAAAAGGTCTCAATAGTAGCACTGGGCATGGGGCGCTGCATGAACTTCGGTATGCGAGTGCTGTCCATGTCCTGATCGACATCGACCTTGGGTGCTTCCCCTCCTGCATTGATTCGAGCCCAAGCCGAATCAATTCGTCGCTGAACCATCGCCCATCCTAGGCATTCGGCTTTTTCCCGTGACGCGGCATCCCCGTCCCGCAGCCAAGCTGCAACAAGACCGTTGAGATGTTTGGGATCCGGATGGATGCCTCTTTCGTACATCAGCTCAACTACGAGTGCTGCAGAGTCCACCTCACCCATGCCTATAAGCTTCTTCATCCAACTGGCGTAGAAAAAACGATTCTGAAATTGTCGGGGCAGAAGAGTCAAGGTCGATAATGACACCCTGTTCACCTCTTCCTCCGAGACGCTCGACGCTTGAAGACTGCCAGCCAGGCCAAGGGCCGCCTTATAGAGTGCGGTTGAGTCATTCGCCGGATCACGCCCGGTCACCATCATGTCTTTGAACACGGCTATGGCCAGGCCCAGCCTGCCAGCTTTAAGCAGACCGATGCTGACGGAGTCGTAGTCGTTCATCGTCATTTGGTGATCGCGGAAGGCTTTGAGCTGGAGATACAACGCCCACGCCTTGGCCTCTGCCTCTTTCCCGGGCTTTTCAGCCCATGCTGTTATGATAGGAATGAGGATCCGAGGCTGACGGGATGAATCATTTGCGAGGAATGCTAGGGCAATATCCTGCGCTCGCTGAGGATTGCCTTCCGCCGAAAACAGCTGTACCCCCAAGGTCCAATACGCTTCCAGGTCCTCTTTCGTCTGGCAAAGCCCGGTCTGGTGGGCTTCCCACTGTTCCAGGGCATCTCCTGTCTTCCCCGTGACATGAAGTGCTTCGATAAACGAGATGATTCGTCGTGTCGAAAGAGGAAAGCCAACAGAAATGGCATCTTCAGCAAGGGTCTGGATGTGCGTCGCGACCTGGGACCCCGGTAGACTCTGGTGCGCTTGCGAATCCCACAATAGCGTCCAGGCTTCTTTCGGTATCGATTTCAAGAAGCCAGGGACAATGCGTTTGCAGCGACGATACCACTTCCATACTTCCTGTATTCCTCGCTCATCCCGCGTTTCTTTCGCGACGGATTTCAAGGTCTGATTGAATTTTTCAATGTATGGACGATGTTCTGTTTCATCTGGTATGATCTCGTAAGACTTCCGAACGACCTCTTTGCGGGATCCCTTGCCATCAGGGTTCGAGTACCAATTTTCCTCCTCCTCGGCCATACCCTGAAACTCTTCCTTCAGCATGTCGTCAAGCCCCTCATCAAAGACTTCATCGAACCAAGGTTGGGGTTTGGAAGGGCCCTTCTCCGCCTCGTGTTTTCGGATAACTTCGAGCGCAATCGCTCGCTCCTTCTCCGGCAGCTCGCGAATGAACGGGCTATTGGGACCGAACGGGCCCTCCTTCAGGATTTCTAACTCTTTGTCTAACTTGGCCAACTCGGCCTCCACCTCTTCTCGTTCGGCGCGGTCATCGGCCTCGGGGTCGACTTTCCTGATATGCTTGCTTCCCGGTGTTGCTTTTTCGAAGAAGTTGATTTTGTCATTGGGCCCGCCGTAGTGAAGGTAACGTGGTGCTACCGGGGAAAAGGCCCCCGGCCCTCTGCGGGCCACATGTTGGTACCACCGAGCTCCTCGGACGGCCTGGCGGAGCATAGAGTTCGACCGTTTAGCGCATCGGACAAATAGTGTGCGGGTCGAAGAAGGCTCAACGCAAAGTGCGTGAGAGAGAGTGGAGTGCAAGTTGTGTATATGTGAGATTGCGAAAAGATGGAGGTAGGGGGGAGGGGAGAGAAAAGGAGCAATAAGTTAGTGAGCAGTGGCGGAATGAAAAGCGCGGAGGAAGATCATCAGCTCCGCGGCGGAAAACCAATACTTACTGGATCTGGTTTAGCGCAGATCTGAGCTCGATTCCGCCCTCTTTCAATCGGTCTCGCCCTCTCTTCCCTCTCCCTCTCTCTTTTCGCTACTGTTCGTTGTATCCTGCGGCTAGTATCTTGTGCAATTTTAGCTAAAAGATACTCTCAGACAGCCTGCGATGGATGCGGATCTGTTAGAATTGGACGCGGGGGGCGCGTCGAAAGATGGCTCCCAAAGTCAGGTACAGAACATACCTCTCCCGTCGCAGCGCTTGGCCTTCCTTGACTCCCCAGTCTGTCGCTGACAATTAATCTTGAAAGGGCGTTTACATTTATCGACCAGCAGATAAGATAAAATCCTCGGGAGAACGGCCGACGAAACGGCGCAAAGTCACACGAACGAATCTACTGAAGGCTGCGAATTCCCGTCCTTTTGTATCTCTTTTGAACGGCGATGAAGATGCAAAGTCCATTGAACTACGATACCGCACATACCAACAATTCTGGGCTGCTCAGGAAGCAAAAATCAAGGTACGCAAGTAAATGCTGTGTTTTGACCGAGGAAGTAATAACGACGTGGCTTAGGCCATTCTGGATGATGTCGACTCCGAGGTCCTCACCAATGTCCTGTCCTTCGTCAGGTCGACCTCACCCCAAACGTAAGGTCGCGGTACCACCGAAGGAAGCCAGTCCCTAATAAAAGACAGTTACGATGGCTGTATACCTGCGGCGCTAGTCACGGTTGGCTCCAATGTCTCGTCCCTCGGCCGACTGCTTTCTAGACTAAACGGTCAACTGACAACAACTGGGGAAGGTGGGGTTATTGCATTGGAATCTGGTGATGCACCGAACCTCAAGACAACTCTGAAGAACATCATCCGCTTCGGTATCACAAATACGGAGGGAAATGAGGGTTATCAGAGTTTTGTCACTGACCGAGAGGTATAACGAGTTTATTCTTCAGCCGACAATGAGCGCTAATGGTGACCATAGGGTCCAAGAGTGCTTGGTTATGACCTTGAATTGTTGGCAGACTATGCCAAAAGAAAGGAGGTCAAGAAGCTGGTTCTAGCATTTCGTGACAGTGAAGCATTTGACCCTGGTATTCTGGCGGACCTTTTGTCGCTTTTGAGGTGAGCTATTTCGTATCGAATTACGGTGATTATAAGATTCATAACTCACCGTTATCAGCTCGTGGCTCGATCGAATTCCATTGACACTTTTATTCGGTATCTCGACGTCCGTGGAACTTTTTGAAGGGAGACTACCCCGGTCCACGGTTGCCCTGTTGCGAGGACGGTATTTCGAAATTCACGAAGCAAGCAACTGCGTGGATCGCATCTATGGGAGTATACAAGCAGAACAGGATGGAAAATTCTGGCTAGGTCGTAACATCACCAGCGTGCTATTTGAGAAGTCAAGCGACTCCTTTCAGACACCAGAAGCTTTCAGTCGAACAGTCAAGGTAAGTTTCTTGCGCACAGGCACCATGTTCGGTGGCCTAGGCTAAGTCTCTCAGTATGCCTATATGTCACATTTCTTCGCCAATCCATTAAGCATGCTCCTTGCGGATGATGCTGCTACCACAATACAACGCGACAAAGTATGCGAGGCTCTCAGAAACCTTCCATCTTTCCGAAGGTAAGTATCTCGCCTCTAGTTGCGAGCTGCCAGGTCTAAAACAATTTAAGGTACTGCGAAGATACATTGGAAGAAGGCTGCGCTGAACAAGTTCGCAAGTTATTGGAAGATGATGCCTTCCTTCTCGAGCAAAGCGCCCTGTGGGTAAAATCGGGTCAGCAGAAAATGCGCGACATATTCCAATGCGTGGATATGGTGCAACGAGCGTTGAAGCAGTTCAACATCGTAAAGAAAGCCAGTATCTCTGATCTATCAATCCGGGCACTTGCTGGGGAGCTGCAAACCTCTGCATCATACGAGGATATTCTTCGTGCAATCAAGACGCTCGATTCCGACCAGATGAAGCTCTTTGCAATGATGTTGCCGGACACACTTACGGCTAGCTCTGATTTTGCGCAAATTCAAGCAGACTTTGAGGCCCTGCTCCAGGTCTATCAAGGAACTGAACCACTCAAAAGTGGGTATGATAAACAACATTCGATCATGGCGACAACGGTTGTTCAACAGCGGGTAAAACTCAGCAAGGCCAAGGTCAAATTGCCCAAAGAGAACGCAGAATTTACGAAAATCATCGATCGCTTTCATGCCCTCTTGGAAGCATGTCTCGAGGAGACTTTGATAAGGCCTAATGACTTGGTCTTGCATGAAATCTTCCTCCTTGATATGAGGAATCCCCTGAAGGAAGTCTTCTCTCCGCGACCGCGTTTTGCTGTTGAGCGGGCACTCTCAAGTCCTTTCGACTACCTGATCTCATCACCTGAAAGTTCGACGGTCAAAGTATCAGCGCACCAGCCGGCAGCGGCTATTTTATATCAACTGTATCTAGAGTCTGGCTCGCTAGTGAACGTCCATGACCTATGGCAGGCGTTCTATGCCGTGTTTGAAAGCGAGCAGGGAAGTGGTTGTGATGAACGGACAGCGATGGCTCTGTTTTATAGGGCCTTATCGGACTTGAAGGCGCTTGGGATGATGAAAAGCAGCCGGAAGAAGGTTGATCATGTTTCTAAAACCGCGTGGATGGGTCTGTGACATGTCATACCATAAATTGCTTTGCAACATATCTCTCTTGAAGTTCAAAGGGTATCATAAATATAACAAACATGCAGCATTGTCCTTATCCGTCACGACTCCTTGTGCCCCAGAGTGTCGTTGTTTACAGTCAATCACTCGGTCACAGGTACCTGTATAATATCCTCACTACCCAAAGCACGGCCTCCTTCGCTCAAAACCATCGCCTCTCGCCTGCGTCTTCTGACAGCTTGTTCCTCAGCGGTTCTCTGCTGGATCCGTGGGCCGGATACTCGCCAAGACCCGGCGGTATCTTCACCATCGACCATCCATACATCGCTGTCATAGTCATCCTGATCATTTTCCTCAAGCATACTACCCATGAGGCCAAACTTGCGTAGTTGTTTCGCGCCGTCCACGTGTGAAGACAAAGTACCAAAAATCGCACTCATCACCGCATCATCCGACCACCACGTTTTCATAAGAATCACGACATCCTGACGTCGTGGCTGCTCTCCAGTGGCGCACGGAAAGGGGTACTTGGCCAGCCAACGACTGACGATACCAGCCTCTAGCGCAGCAGGCACATTCTCTTGTAGGACCATATTGAGTATATTCAGCGCTTTCTTCTCGCCCAAAGGCCTGGTTTTTGGGAGAATTGGTGAGACGGTCGTAGATGTCTCCTCTGTGTGTTCATCCAGAAAATTGCAAAGACAGTTGATTAGCGCGGTATAGGCAGGGAGGTCCTGCAACCGGGAGCAGACGGAGGTGCGAGAGACTGATACTGCGAGTTAGCAGGAATTTGGTTTCTGATGTACGGACAGATGCCATACGAGCCCGGTTAGAAACAAGAAAGTACAATGCATTCAGCGCCTTGTTGCGTTGTGTTTTGTCTCTGCTCACCAAGTCTTGCAGCAGCAGATCCCGGGTCTCGCCTTTTGTTGATCGTTCTGCGATGATGCGCAGTGCGCTGGAATGACTCTTTAGTCGATGGGGATAGTTATGCGGGGAGGGGTGCATCATACGCTGCTCGGAGATCATGGCTAGTGCTCTCGGAAAGTTTTTGTAAGGTGTCTAGGTTGAGTGCTGTTCTCTATTCAGCTCCCAATATGACACAACACATGCGCTGGCGCATACCTTCTTCGGTGCCCTCAGTAATCATCCTATCATCCCTCTCCTCAACATGCTTAATTTCCGTTAACTCGCGCACTTGGCGGAGATCTGTGACGATCCCGCGAACGGCGAAGAAGAGTGAGACGCCTAGAATGTCTCAGCGTCCAGATATCGTTTTTGGGGCGCACTAGCTCACCTAAGCACAGCCATAACAGGTTATCACCCATACGCTCCGCCATTTTACTATACCTTAATTCGGCGCTATGGTGGAGTTAAAGACGGTCGAGCTGCGGCACGTCGGAAGGGCATGGGAAAGCGGGGAAAGTAATAGTGCCGGCAGAAGAAGTGCCAAGGTGGGCGGTGAGATATCTTTTTTTCCCCAGGGTGGATCCCAATCGCGCCGGTTTGGCCCAAAAATTTCGGCGGAGTTCCACCTCCGAACAAAGTGAGCGGACGTCGACAACTCCCTGCACGCCTCAACGATGCCGCCGTCGCAGTTGAAGCAGCTCAAGGCCTCTCTTCGAGATGGAGGACTGCTGGGCCCCCAGCAGTCCAAGAAGCAAAAGCAGCAGAATGCAAAGTCCGGTGTTGCTGCGCAGAACCGCATTCAGCGCAACAACGCCCTGCAGGCCATCCGCGATCGATTCAATCCCTTCGAGATCAAGACAACTTCGCGACCGAAGTTCGATGTAACTACCCGCGATGTGCCTAAGAAGAACGCCGGTCAGGCCAGACCTGGTGTGACCAAGTCCCACGGTGAAGAGAAGGTAGTTCCAGCTTAATATATGCAAAACTTCGAGATTGTCGCTAATTGTCGTCTGTTCTATTTTATCTAGCGGCGTCAAACCCTTCTTCAGGAGATGAACCGGCGAAACAAAGTCGGCGGTATTCTCGATCGTCGTTTTGGTGAGGACGACCCGACGATGACGCCGGAGGAGAGAGCGGCCGAGAGATTCGCCAGACAAAGTCAGAAGAAACTGAGGAAGGAATCTATGTTCAATCTTGAGGATGATGACGAGGAGTTTCAGCTCACTCACATGGGAGAAACCCTGTCCTTCGGAGAGGGTGTCAACCTAGATGATTTCCAGGAGGGCGATCTTGGGGCTGAGGAGGACAACGATGATGAGGAGCTGCCCAGGAAGAGGAAGCGGATGTTGGAGGATGAGGATGATGATGCTGATTTGGCGGACATGATTTACGACGACGAAGAGGGAGAAGAACAGCCCGAGCGAAAAAAGTCGAAGAACGAGGTCATGAAGGAGGTTATCGCCAAGTCGAAGTTCTACAAGCTCGAGCGGCAAAAGGCCAAAGAGGATGACGATGATCTCAGAGAAGAGCTCGACAAGGGACTTCCCGATCTGTTTGACATGCTGAGGGGCGTCAAGGCACCACCCAAGCCAGAGCCCCCCAAGGATGATCTAGCGGCAATGAATCCCGAGCGGGCCGCTATATTGCAAGGGAAAACTCCCGATGATGCCGAAAAGGAGTACGATCAGCGCTTGAAGCAGTTAACCTTCGACAAGCGGTCCGCGCCCACAGATCGTACCAAGACTGCTGAGGAAAAGGCAGAGGAGGAGGCTCAGCGCCTGAAGACTCTTGAAGAAGAGCGGCTTCGACGTATGCGTGGCGAGGAGTCAAGTGAATCCGAAGCCGAGGTGGCGGAGGAGGAGGAAGATGAGGACGAGGACGGCGAGGGATCAGACGATGAGTCAGTCTTCGACGACGCAAAGGCTTTCGGCTTGCAACAGCCTACCGAGACAGTCACTCGTCCTGAGCTTGGGGTCGAGGACGAAGATGATTTCATTATCGATGACGATCTTGTGGAGACGAGGTCAGATGTGAGTCTGTCTTTCGATGAGGATGAGGACATGGAATCCGTTGAAGGTTCGGAGGAAGAGGAGGATGAAGATGAGCAAGATGATGAGCTTATCAACGGATTCTCGATTCCTGGACTCAACGATGGAGATGCCACAGCAGCGGCAGACGGCACTAAAGAGGTCAGCGATGGTCTGGCATTCACATATCCATGCCCCGGTAGCCACGAAGAATTCCTAGAGATCATCAAAGATGTTCCAATGCAAGATCTCCCGACCGTGATTCAACGGATTCGAGCCCTGCATCACCCCCGTCTTCACAGCGACAACAAGACCAAGCTTAGCCGCTTTGCTGGCATTCTCGTCCAACAAGTCGCATATATGACTGAACAATCGGACCACCCTCCTTTCTCGATCGTGGAGAACATCCTTCGTCACATCCACTCTATGGCCAAGAGCCACCCTGAAAGCGTTTGTCAGGCATACAGAGCTCATTTGCGCCAAATTGCGACCGACCGCCCTCTAAACCTTCGCCCCGGCGACCTGGTCATCCTGACCGGCATTGCGACAACGTTCCCAACTTCTGACCACTTCCATGCCATCGCGACGCCCGCCCATCTCTGCATCGCCAGGTACTTGGGCCAGGGTGCTGTCAACACCCTCAACGACTTCGCAACGGGCGCCTACGCAGCCAGTCTCTGCCTGCAATACCAGGCCATCTCGAAGCGCTACATGCCAGAATTCATCAACTACACACTGAACGTCCTCTACCACCTCAATCCGGAGGAGCAGACCGACGCATCCGCCCTGGGATTCTTTCCCTCTCGGAGTCCATCTACGTCTCTCCGACTGAACCTTTCTTCCAAGCCCATCTCTTCCCGCAGACTTCGATTCTGGGACGTGGCGGATGCGCCTGAAGACGAGGACGGACTCAAGCTCTCCATCATCAATACTCTTGTCAACCTTCTTTCCTCCGCCTCTGATATTTGGTCTGGCAAGTCCGCCTATACCGAGATTTTTGCCCCCGTAGAGAAAGTCCTCTCCTGCCTTTTCCAAGCTCTCGACCTCACCACCAAGGGCAAGGGTAAAAGCAGCAAGAACCTCATATCCTCCTCCGTGCTCGATTCCTTCAAGTCGACCCTCGACAAGATCACCGCGCAACTCTCCCAAGCCCGCCACGCCCGTCGGCCCCTCCTCCTCCATAACCACCGGCCCCTCGCTATCAAGACCGCGATTCCCAAGTTCGAGGAATCCTTCAATCCCGACAAGCACTATGATCCCGACCGCGAGCGCGCTGAGGCCAACCGTCTCAAGGCGGAGTACAAGCGCGAGCGCAAGGGTGCCATGCGCGAGCTCCGCAAGGACGCCAACTTCATTGCGCGCGAGAAGCTGCGCGAGAAGAAGGAGCGCGATGCGGAGTACGAACGCAAGTACAAGCGCCTCGTGGCCGAGGTGCAGAATGAGGAGGGCAGGGAGGCGAATGCTTATGAGAGAGTCAAGAGGATGCGACAGGGCAAGCGGTGATCACGACAATCTTGGCACCTCTTCTCCCCGACTCCATGACATAGTTCCATCTTTTCCCTTTGCTGGTTTTGACCTCAATTTGTCTCTTGCAAGCCGGTCTTGGGTGCGTAGATGGGTGGACTGCTTCGGGAGTTTCGCCTTCGCGTCCCACTCAACATCCTGTAGTATGCTCTGGCACATCTATGTATATATCTACTTTTTCTTTACATCTACTACAGTATTTTGTCGACGGTGTTAGGGCAGATAGAAAAGATTTACCATCTTTCACAATTCCATGGATTGGATTGTTCGGTGCTCTAGTAGACCACGGCTATAAGTATGTTGGCTGACGGTTCAAGATCAGGAGGGATGCAGATATGTACATGCGTAGAGAAAACAAAGTAAACTTGTCCAAAGAACCGACGTTGCATGAGTATCGAGAAGGTCTCACTGCTGCAAGGCAATCCCAATACTGATTAGGTAGTCGCATCTCGCCTTCTGATCTAGCGGCACCGTTTCCATCTTGGTGTCTCCCGTCCTAATGAAGAGCCGACGGTCGCTGTTGCCATCACCGCTCCAGGTCTCCCATTCTGGACTACCAGGATAGCGATAGGGATTCGGATCGAGGGCCTTGATGAAGCTAGTCCAGTACCCCTGCATGACGGGGATGATAGGCGCATTTGAGGTGAAGTAGGATGCGGGTGGTGTTCCAGTCACATACTGCGGACCCCAGATGGCATTCAGTTCTACGACATGGTAAACACCTTCCCCGGAGGATTCAGAGCTTGGGTCTTGGACTGCATAGTGATAGTTCCAGCTATTCACCCCGGCTTCTGAGAACGCCGTTGACATGGCGATACCGGGACAATTGTAGCGCAGTTCGCCATATGCGTTGCTGGTCGGCCGCCAATATACACCAGCATCAGGAAACGACATAGTCTGGTTCTCATTGAGGTACAAGTGGTTGACTATGGCGAGCTGGTCTAGTTGAATTGCTGGGAATTGACTCTGGATGAATGTGTCGGCCTCGCCCACACTGGATATACTCTTCGGGACAAATGTTGTGCCTTCATTAGTCACATCGCCAAATATAACAGGGACTTTGATAAATTTCCCTAGGGAGAATGACCGGTACGTATAGTCAGGGACTAGGTCGCCATCAATGGTAGGCGCATAGAAGTAGAGGGGCGGCTTCTGTGCATCAGGAAGGGGGGTGCCGATGTTTTGCTGCTGTAAGGTTCCTGCATCCAATTTGCGCAAACACGATAGAGTGTCGACTTCGCTTGCACAGCCAGTGCGAATCACGAGGTTGTTATACGCAAATTGAGCTTCGGTTGCAGTCAGCATGGTGGCAAAGCTTTGCGATTCCGCAGCAGCGGCATGGAAAAGACCTCGATCCTCCCCGGCGTAGGCCGAGAGAAGAAGAGTGACCGAGGCTGCTCCTGCACTGTCCCCTCCAATGACCACATGTTCAGGATCACCGCCAAACTTGGGCGTAATAGGTCAGTGCAAAGTCACACTCATTTGGGCAAGCTTTGGCTTACTTTTGATATATGCGTCTGAACCCACTGCAAGACTTTAATCTGATCTTTGAGCCCGTTGTTCGAACTTCCACCCTTCAGTACCTCAGACCCCGAGAGGAACCCGTAAGGACCGACTCGATAGTTGAAGTTAACCACCACGATACCAGTCTTGGATGCCTGAATCAGCCCGGTCCCGTTGAAATTGGCATTCGAGTCTGCATTAAAGCCTCCTCCTTGGATAAACACAAAGACCGGCAGCTTTGATGCATTCCTTGCCCGATTCGGAGCGTACACATCAAGGAACAGACAGTCTTCAGATGTCCCAGTTGGGATGGGGTACTGATCGGTGGGTATACACAAGGGACCATGCTAAATCTGACATCTCAGCGCCGGTTCAAGGACAAGGACTGTATGCTACAGTCTTAAAAGGGATCCCCAACAATACCTGAAAGGCAGTCTGAACTCCTTCCGCCGTTTCTGGATCTTGGGGTGCGGCAAATCGCAAGGACCCTACAGGAGGAGCAGCATAGCGTATTCCCAGCCATTGCACAATGCCATTGGGGAGGGCCTGTCCTCGATATTGCGAATAGCCAAGATTAACCGTCACATTTTGGAAGCATTCCACTTGAATACTGAGGCAGATGACCAGTGTTTGGAAAATCAGTCTCATGATAATGACGATGATGTCAAGCAACAGCCGCGAATGGCTTGCTGCAGAACCGCGGTGTGTTTACGCCGTGCTTTCATGCTGTGCGAGCAGAGCATCCCTTTTGAAGGACGTATCATCCAGATTCGAGACCCCTGAAGGCATGCTTCGAGGAATGCAATGGATCCGCCCTTCTATCCAGGAAGGGCTCTCCTTGCATCATCACATGATGGATGTGAGCCGTCATCCTGAGTTTCTCGGCAATGATTGACGCAGACAACGATATGGTCCGGAATTCGGAGGACCAATTGAAGAGTGCCAGCAAAGAGGGGTGTATGTACACCCGAGCCGTAAGTTGCGATTAATGTCGATGGATGGATGGATGGATGGATGGATGGACGGGTGAGGTGTACGCCAACTGGTGGTGGGACTAACTAGAAGAGCGAGCAGGAATACTCCCAAGCCGGAGAGGGAAAATCCGCATCTCCGCATCAAGTCAACTGCTTCCCCGCAGTCGATCTTCCCTGCTTGGCTGCTCTGACTCTGAGCTTGTTACTCTGTCTGACGTGGCTAGCGTTTCTCTAGTCAAGTGAGGCGCAAGTTTTGATTGAACCTTCCCTCTGATTCCACGGCGTCTACTTCTGGATCCCGATCTTCCCTGTCGTTCGTCGCTCTCCGGCCGATAACCCAACCCCTCCGCACGCGCAATGCCTGAGGCAGACGAGGAGGAAGATGATTACATGTCCATGGTAATTGAGGAACCACAGCAGAAGGAAACCTTTACCCAAAAGAAGCGCCGACAACAACGAGAAGTAAGTATCAGGTTAGACTTGAAGATTCATTCAGATCAGGCGCTAACTAACCGTTCTTGAATCAGGCTGAAGCGCGTGCCAGAGTCCCTTCAAAAGCCGAACGCGCTGCGGACGAAGCAGCACGTCGCGATGCAGCTCTTGCCACCAGTGCGCTGAACCCTTCCAACAAGGGCTTTCAGATGATGGCCAAATTGGGCTTCAAACCTGGACAGGCCCTAGGAAAGCCCGAATCATCTCGAGAAACGCAGCCGGATAAATCCGATGCTCGACTCCGATCCGAGCCTCTCAATTTGGTAATCAAAGAGGATAAGGGTGGAATTGGGCTGGATAGCGAGCGGAAGCGCAAGTTCCTCGAGGAAGCCGAGCATGTTGCCAAGAAAGCGAAAGAGGATGAGGGCGATTATCGCGACCGGGTCCGGCTTGAGCGGGAGATGCGCCGAGCGGAGGCGCAGGTGCATGCTGCGCAGAAGGTTGCTGAGCGTTTGGATGCCGAGGCTAAGACGGACGAAAAGCCGTCATCCAGCGCAGTGAAAGGAGAGTCTCCCGAAACGCAAAAGACAGATGGGGAAAGGAAAGGTTCACCCCCGGATGATACGGCTGGCGAACCTGTGACAAGCAAGCCGCAGAAGGCCAAGCCAACCTCTCAAATTAACATCCTCTATCGTGGGCTAGTCCGTGAACGCGAGGAGAAAGAACGCAATCTTCAGATGCGTCATATGCTGCAAACATCACTCTCTTCTGGATTTTTTCCCAATCCGCGCTTACCAGAACACAACGATCCGACATTGGATCGAGATGACGAAGAAGCTATCGGGGGGCAACGAGAACCATCAATGGTTCTCGAGCAAGAAATCGAAGAAGATGATCCCGAGCTAGACGAGTTTAATGCGTTAGGTCCGAGCGAACAGCTGTCCCAGTTAGTACGATATTTACGTGATCAACATCACTACTGTTTCTGGTGTAAGTATCGATACGAGAGTGCTGAGATGGAAGGATGTCCGGGGGTAACAGAAGAAGATCACGATTGATGCCACATGGATGTGCTATACGTAACGAACTATATCATCTGCTAATCCTGTACTTGATAGATAAGCATTATGATTATATCTTGGGGTTGCACCCGCCGATTTCAATTTGGCCCGTCATGTCCAGTGTAAAAGTCAACAAACGAGATACTGGAAAGAAAAGCCCTAATCGCCATCGCTAGAGCTAGATTCGTCCAAACCACACGCAACAAATAGCCGCAACTTGAGGGGAATCTTGTTTCATGCGGAAGTATAAATGAACAGAGAATGAGAAAAAATCGAGGTATATAAAGCAGGAAGAGAATATTCGATAGAAGCAAGAAACAGCCTTTTGGTTCGACCATACTCTTGCCTGACCGTATACAGTGAGAAAAGCAGTATTACGGACGTCATTGGAATCATCATTGAGAAGAAGGAAGGGACCTCATCAATTGCGCCAACGAGCGGTTATGGCATTTCTGCAAGGCCTGATAGCATCCTCCGCATATGCGCAGACAGCAGAAAACACACCGATGTCGCACTTCGTGGTCAAACTTCTGGCACGTCATGCAGGGCAGCGCATACCAGGCATTGTTAGCTGGAAGCATTGACCGGTGGTCTTGGTAACAAGCGTAATGGAGTTTATTCAGAGGCGCAGCCACCGGCTCGTAGTCGGGAGGCGTCCACGGGCCCCTATCATCTTCACTGGAGAGAGAATCGACAGGCGCCTCGGATTCAGGTTCGGGATCAGGGATGAAATGGTCCAGTGAATCTACCGCATTGGGGCGATTAGATTTCGGTTCCAGGTCTTCTTCGCTGGACGGCGGGGTGGGTTGCGGCGGGATAGGCGGCCGGTAAGCCCGAAACACCGGAGGTTCAGGAAGAGGGCCATCCGGCGGGCTGTAAGGCGGGCGCTGACTGCGGCCGTCAGTCAAAGACCCCGGGCCAGCAGAGGGTTGTACAGTGGGAGGGGAATGGAGTTCGTCAGGCTCTTGCGATCGGAACGGCGGAGGTGCCGGAACGGATTCGGATCGAGGGGAAGTCACAGCAGGAGCTGCCGGAGGTTGCTGGACGGGCGCGGATTCCTTCGTAGGCAGAGATTCAGAAGATTTTTGCTTGAAGCCTTTTTTGGCAAAGGAAGGCACTCGCAGGCCGCGGGACCGACTTTCTTTGTCTAGAATCGCCATCTTGCCTCGTTTTGAGGGTTGCTGTCCTGTACTGTCCCTGCAATAATCTGATCAAGGACAATACAAAGAAGTGGGCCGAAGGAAAAGGGTGTCTCTGGGCAATCCAAGATATATAGTTCTATAAGTGTATGAATAGATGGATGTGTGACTTTGGAGTTTGTCAAGAACGAGAGACCGGAGAATTAAATGGATACCAGAAAGAGAGAGAGAAAGAGAGAAAGAGAGAGAGAGAGAGAGAGAGAGGAAGAGGGTGGAGGGAACAGATGGAGGGGGACTGAAGAAGGGGACTTTTTTTTTTAGAGCAGATCTTTAGGGGACAGGACAAGTCATTGAGATGATTTCATCACATCTCGAACAGACTACTGAATGGTTAGGGTTTTATCTCTCAGTTGGTTCAATTCCTGCCTGGGCTGTTTCTTCAGCGATTGACCAATGTAATGGAGACCGTAGAAAAGTGGATTGAATCCGGGTTTCGAGCCAGGAACGCGCAAGTTCGGAAAGGTAGTAAGTTCGTAACAGGGAGGGGGGAAAAAAACACCAGAGCTGAACCACGGATCCACTGAGTCCTGACAGGCTGCGCAGCCCAGACAGAAAATCAAGCAGGGAGGAAAGACAAAGGGCAACAGGCAGATGGCCGGCCTGCTTGGACCAAAATTCAAGATTCAAGGCAGACTCGTAAGTTGACTGGCGGATACTTGGAGGAAACTCCCCAGCTAGTACCCAAGGTAGATACCTACAATACAGACACAGACAGATAGCACAGGACTGAACTTGGAAGCATGTTCGACGTTCGATCTTAACGAACCAGAAAAGACGAGGAAAGGAGAGCGAATGACAGTGTCTCTGCAAAGCTATCAATCGCGTCAGTCCGTCGCAAGGACTAGTGGATGATAGCGTCATTTCAACCCCTTTGGTTCATTCCAGCCATTGATAGGAATTTCCGCACCCTCTGCCCGGTCTTATCGAATCACTACTCGGATGGGATAAAGCGAGGAAGTGGGAAGTTGAAGTGATAAACAACCTCAGTTGAGGGTCTGACAGTCGGGACTTTGGGTGTTGCGCCAAAAACCCTTCAGATACTCAGTAAATGATAAAATTGCAGTGTCGATCAGCGATTGCCACCCCTGTCCACCCAGACCAAGAATAATACATGTACTATGTACTCATACAATGCACACTGTAGTACTAGAAATGTAAGATCCGTGCTCGGCATTGGTGGCACTACTATGAGTGAGTAGGACGAATCAGAGCAGAAGACGAGGAATGGATGATGGACCCTGGTCTGGCGCAGAAGAGAGTGCGCGAGACCTGTCTGTCTGTCTGTCTGTCTGTCATCTGGAGTCCTGACAAACTACTTCTAAATTATGTACTGTACTGTACTATACAGGATTTACATAGTAGATACTTTATACCATTTTTTGTTTCTAAGAGTTGATCGTCCTTGAAACAAGGTACGAGTACCTTACAATGTGCCCTGTATCTTAAGTACTACGTAAGTTCAGCGGAGTGGATGTAATCTTACTTACACCTACATAGTACTACCTAGTACCTAGTACGGAGTCCACTGCAAACAAATTCCCCGACACGAGTCAGTATGCCCAATGAGAACACGTGGGAATGTCCTTGATAATGTAATCTAGAATCTACGGCGCCGTAAGAAGGTAGTACTTGGATAAGTACCTATAAGTTGTAGGGTTATACTAGGTCCAATCCTGACTAGTATGTACCTACCTTACTGTATTCCTGTCAGTGATCTCTAAATACTTATTTATTGTCATGAGTCTTGACCTTTAGGGTAATGAATGACAGAACACCACGCACTAGATAATTCTCCGGTGGAGCCTCTATCATATGGGCTGAAACAACTCCAAGGTCTTGAGACTATTAAAGGATCCGCTCCACTTTGACCTTAAAACACCATTTGCCAAGGTCACCAGCCATGGAATTTGCATGTACCTGATACAAATGAGCTTGATCAATCCAAACATCTATTATGTGCGTCCTCGATTTCGGCTTGGGTGCCCGCGTTCCCTGTTTTGCAGCATCCTTTCCTTCAGTAAAGCCCAAGCAAACATCCGTAAGGTGTTGGAGCGTTGCCATTTGAGAGAGTGATAGACAAAGGAACCAAGATTGAAGACAGGTGTCGAATCTATGCAATGGTATGTATATAGCGACAAAAGAAACGCGGGCTAGCTACCAAAAAAAAAGATCCATGCACATACTTAAAAGACAGGACTTCGTCAGGTGCAGCAACGGCAGAAGCATAAAGAATCGTATCACTATCATTCCTTCTTCCCTCCCTAAGAAAACCCCCCTTCGCGCGAGTGACCTGTTGTAAATTATCCCTCCACAACGGTGGACGCAGGTTAGAGCAACGTCGCAAGGCAGCCTGGTCGAGCAGACGGAAAAGCCTCACCCCGCAAAGTATTAAGATCTAGGAGGCAGTCTCTGTATCTCCTGCAGTGGATGGTATTTCAACCGAGCGAGATTCCAACTCCTTCGGAATTAACTCTTCATTCTTAGGCACTTCCAAGGAAGCAGGCGTCGGCTCAGTTATCACTTGTCCAGATTTCACCATTTCATCATTGGCGCTAGCAGAGTGGGAAGTTGATGCTGCGCTCGATGCATCAGGTTTTGGTGTTGTATCTTCCACGTGCTCCGTTCTTTCGTCGCCTTTGTCTTCGTCTCCAATCACAGCGGCCAGACTGCGAAAGTTGAATAGGGGCTCGGTGGAGGAGCTCGCACCATCAGCAGATGTGTGAAGTCCAGTATGGCCCTCATTCATCGATTCGACCAGAGATGAAAATGACGAGGACGCGCTAGAGACATGGCGTAAATGTGACGTTCGCGGGTGCGACGAGGTTGGCAAGTGGAGAGCATGGTCGGTTGGGGTCGCGATAACAGCTGGCGAAGACTGTGCGCCTTCGAGGCTAGAGACAACCTCAGTGGGGATAACCGCAATCTGACCTGGAGGTGGCGCACGATCTACCTCCTTGCCCTTGCCAGTAGAGGGAGGCTCCTCGCCGGTAACAGAGGAAGAGCTGCTGATGACTCTTCCTAGGCTGAAATCGCCAACCCCATCCAGGGCAGAATTACTGGCATTATCACTGGACGGACCTGACTTGCGCGCAACCTTCTCCGCCTTCTTGGCTTCTTTCTCTCTTCGCTTTGCCTCCTTCTTCGCCTCCTTCTCCTCCTTTTTGCGCCGCTCCTCTTCACTGGCTAAACTCAGCCGAATAGCTTCCATCATCATCATTTCCTCGAGGTCATCGATACGATTTCTCCTTGACCTGCTGCGTGGTGGTGCAATGCTGTTTGGAGCCTCTTCTGCGGGATCGTTTTCTTGACCCGCAGCACGACGGTCTGTCAAGAATGCAAGGGCCTGCAGCGCAGGGGAGCCGGTTCGCGAGGTGTTCTGACTCTCTGGTCCCCCGTTCCGTCGCATTACACTCCTTCTTCCAAGGCCAAAATTCCTCGAGTCGGCGCCAGAACCATTGTTGTGCATGAGATAGGCGGCAGTGTGGAGAGCGGTTGCTGCCGCAGATCGTCGCGCGGCATGTGCTCTGGCGTTTGCTAGCTTCTGTGCCCAATCAGGCCGAACCCTATCAGTTGTGACCACAGTTGGGTCATTGGCAGATAATGACGTCGCGCGACGACGGCCCGTCACAGGGGTAGTGCTAGAAGAAAGGGACGAGGTGGAAGATAGCGGAGATGTAAGATTCGGACGGGCACCCATGTCGCTTGCGTAAGCCAGTCCTCGACGGAATGGCGGTGGTGCATAAGTGACTCCAAATTCAGGCTGAACGCAAAACGGACATGCTGCCGGTTCCGATACTAATTGACCGTCCTCGTTATCCGCGCGCTCACCATCAGCCGCCGACTGCGCATTTTGTTCTGTCTCTCCGTGCTCCGGAGGGTGGGGGTCAGGTCGTTTGATCTGGACGAAACACTCGGAACAAATTGGTTGGTCGCAACATCTCGTCCGGTTGAGATAGGGGGGGTAATACAGAAAGCAAATGGGACATTCGGCAGCCGCTTTGTATAGATAAGCCTCAATCGGCTGTCCATTTACAAAAGGATCATGTGGAAGGTGAATTTCTCGAGTCATTGTATCGGATTGAATGCCATGCTTAGACGTGGAGAGGGATGCCAATGTTTTTGCACGGGTCCGAAACATAGGTGAGCTGGAAGCGCCGGAAGCGATAGGAGAGGTTGGTGAGGGGAGTGAATGGGCTGGTGTAGAAGACTGAGAAGCATCCGAGCCGTACGACTGAGACCTGGAAGTAATAGGTACCATCAAGTGTTGTACCATAGGTATATCCGAGGCGTCCCGGGCATCTTCTCCAAATCTAGGCGGATTCTTATATTCCAGCTCCGGAGGGACTTCATCCGGAGGGGGGATTGGCAGGCCTCGCGCTGCTGCCATCAGCTGATGTTCTGTCCATGAGTCTGAGAAGTCGTTGAGACCTCTCCAGAATGGTGCAAGTCGTCGTTCGACCTAAGCAAGCTTAAGTCAGGTTCGATAATACAGCCAAGTAAATACTATCGTCGACTTACCATTAATTGGCGAACCACAGCCTTATTGAAATCTTCGGTTCCGGTGTATACACCTTGCGTTACCAGATAACCGCCATCCACATTCTCTTCTTTCATACTACGCTCTCGTTCTTTGAGGCGGGCCGCCCGTTCCTTCTCAAGCCGGCGAGCTTCCCTTTCCTGTCTAGTTTCTCGCCGATGTTCAAGCGACGCCACGTCTCGCTCCGAATGTGTGTTGATACCGAGGATAGATAGATCGGGTCCGCTGCCTCGAGTTGATCGAGAACCGTCAGCGTGGTGGCGGTCGCCATACGGGCCATGATGATGGCTTCTGCGCCCTGGCGCAGTAAGAGACGGTCTGCTTTCTTTCGTCTGGGAATTGCCCATTTCGAATAAGAAGGGAAAAAGAAGAGCAAAGAAATTGGGTACCAACGGGCAGGAGGTCAAAGCCCGGTTGGAGAATCCCGGATAAGCAAGCGAAGAGGCGGCGAATTCTCCGGCCGGCAATCAACAATGGAAGAGGCTAGAGATAAATCGGAATGATGTGCAGTAACAATGATGATAGTTCGGCCACAAGAGACTAGGGAAAATGAAGGGGAGAACGAAAAGCGCATAGGTTAGAGGAGTGTCAGTTGCTTGAGAAAGGATTGACACAAAATGTGAGTAAACCCAACGTGGCCATGTGAGCGGACGAGGATGAAGCTGGAAGCGGCGATGAGATCAGAAGCGCGGGCTCGAGCTAACTAACCGCGGGACGATAGATAGTCTGGGGCCGAATAAGGGGAGACAGAGGGAGGGGAAGGGAAAGGGAGGGGAAGGAAAAGGAAACTGAAGACTTAAGAGTAACATAAAAGTGTTAGTGTATCCCCACGAAAAGATGAGTTGGCTGGTCGTGGTCTAGGGAGAGCATTAATGGGAGCGAGATGGGGCAGGAAGAGGAAGAAGGAGGAGAGAAAAGAGACGGCCGGGCGATCATAAATCATGAATGCAGCACAGTAGGTACTTGGTTAGTTAGTGGTTAGTTAGTCAAGTCATCCAGACAGTTTAGTCGTCAGACAGCAAGGCCGAGGAACGGATTTGGTTATGCCGAAATACGGATACGGTATGATACGAGATCTACGTATAGTATATGTACGTATGTACTATCGGCATCTAATTACAGATAGTAGCGCTAACTTAAAGGTCAGTAGTTGTAATCGATGACTTCACCCAAGCTGATGTTCGGCCCGTCAACTCCCAAATTACACTGAAACTGTACAGTACAAAAACCGCGGCAGTCAACACCGCAGTTCTTGAGCTTTTTACTTTTCCCTATCGTCATTAAAAAATAATAGGATACATGAGAGTCAGGTGTTGACCTTAGCGCCTACTATGAGCATTAATATGTTGAATGGTAACTACGTTATGTGTTATTCATGAACGAAAGTTATGTCACATCGCAGACAAACAAAGTCAAGTGGCTAGTTAGGTTGTCCGCTAGGTTACTGCGCCACATATCGCGGACCGGAAAATCCATCGCCCAAGATCTGGACCAGTTATCAATTTCGGCGCTCGTATTTTTTTCTTTTCTTGATGTGGCTGTCATAGGATAATCTGGGTTGACAGTTTGGAGATACACATTCCCTTTCGCATATTTATACCCACCTGTTTATACATATACCTATCTGCTTTCGATCAGTTCTGCTTCGACCCTCTCAGAGTTTTGCACCTATCACAACGGAGGCCATTCCGATGCGTTGTTGATCTCTCTGCACCACAAGCGCTCAATTCCTAATCCCATCTAGTCGTGCTTAACGCAGCAAATGACGGACTCCGCGCCTGAAACTAAACGACTTCACATCACTCCTTTCAACCTAGAGCTTCTCCCCTCCGTTTTGCCACCAACCATTCGGCCCTTGGCCACGGAGATTTCCTTTCATTGTGTCCCAACCTTCCCCGAAAACAATTACGGTTACGTGACGCTGCCGACAATGGAGGCGGAAAAGGTTAAGAAAAAGCTCAATGGCTCAATCTTAAAAGGTCGCAAATTCAAGGTGGATATGGCGCGTCCACCGATACGGCAACGAAGTGAGGATGAAGCACTCGACAAGATTACCTCAAAATCCCCGTCAGATAAGAAGGCGAAGAAGCGGAAGGCGGCGGAAGAGACGCTCGAAGGGTATGAACTTCCAGCTGACCGCAAGGTGAAGAGAGGCTGGACAGAGTCGGCAGACGCCAAGCAAGACAGGCGCAAAGAAGAGAAAAGGAAGAAGACGTCGAAGGATGCAAAGGAGGGCAAGCCAGCCAAGTCACAGGCGAAGTCCAAGTACACCGAAAAGGAAGAGTGCCTGTTCCGTACAAAACTCCCTCCTAATCGGATGTCATCACCCGACGAGAAGCATGAGAAACAGTCGAAGAAGAAAAAGACTGCACATGAGACAATCGTCCATGAGTTTTCTAAGACGGTCAAACATCCCAGTTTCCTACGGTCTGGACGTGACGAATCAGCGGACACAGTGACATTTGTTGAAGGCAAGGGTTGGATGGACAAAAGTGGAACTGTGAAAGAGCCTGTCAGTGATCGGATAAGGACAGACCAATATAGACCGGGATGCATTCCAGGAACTAAGGAGAAGCCACGAACTATCAAGAAGGACAGCACCACGGTTTCTGGCAAACCCAGAACGAAACAAACAATAACCACTAAAGAAGCAGATTCGACCGATGAATCAGAGGATTGGACTTCTTCCAGCGGTGGGAGCTCGTCCGAAGAGGATTCCTCGTCCGAGGAGGATTCTCAAGAGTCTGAGAGCTATGAATCTTGCTCATCTGGCTCGTCTAATGATTCAGAAGATTTATGCATCGCCGAAGAACAAAATTTAAAGTCATCAAAGCAGGAGAGTGTGGCCGAGTCACATTCGTCAGGGCTTCAATCTCTTCCGTCAGGAAACAATGATCAGGCAGCGCCAACCCAGGAAGTTCACCCGTTGGAGGCTCTTTTCAAAAGGCCTGCGCCTAGCACATCTGCTATAAACTCTATTTCAGAGGAGACGCCACACTTCAGCTTTTTCGGAGGGGATGACGAAGTTGAAATGGAGGATGTGGCGGAAGCCCAACCTGCAGCACCACTTACACCTTTCACAAAGAGGGATCTGCGGGATCGTGAATTGAGAAGTGCGGCCCCAACACCTGATACGGCGTTAGTCAATCGAACCATTGATTGGGATAAGCACGAGCAGCCTCGGGTTATGGATTCAGACGATGACGAGTGCATGACAACCCCGGTCTCAAAGGCTGCATCAGGGCCCAAAAAGGATTCCGATTTTGTCAAATGGTTCTGGGAAAATCGAGGAGACAACAACCGTGCATGGAAGAGAAGACGCCGCGAGGCCGCCAAAGATCACAGACAGCGTGAGAACCGGAGCAAGGGCATGAAAGGCAAATCCTAGATTATTCTCACTCCCGTATAGATGTCAAAAATACATGATGCTTGCACTTCATGGGTCGGCATTGCAGGAAGAACATCGTATCATGTCGTAGCCACATATTGTGTCTTAATCAAATTCCTGTTATTCAGGTACACTACTGTGTAGACGAGCGGGAATTGAGTGTTAGCGGTCACGTGCCGCCAAGGATCCGGGGAACAATCGGGGAAGCGATAGCAGCCGATTGCCAGCATGTGGCCATGGGGCGTGGTACAGCAACTGATGGCAGCAGGGGATAGTCACCCTGTCTATCTTGATAACCAGCAAAATGCAGCTCTATGGTAGAGGTCTCGACTTGATGCTTATTTGCCTCATATTTCTCGCCTGCGCATCTGTTGGAGTGGCTTCCTGTAAGCTTAAGCCCGACATGCTTCTCCCTATTGAGCAACACATGCTAACCAAATAATTCTGATCTTAGCCCCTGCGTCATTCTGCAAGTGTACTTGCTTCTCCAACAGCACAATAATTCCTCTTGATCCCGAAAAGTCGAACTCTCTGTCTACACAGAGCAGTCTCTTCCGTCTCCGAAGTCATGACGATGCCAAAGATTTCCTAGATAGGCGAGCAAAGAATTACCGGTCTTTGAGCTGCAACGACTGTAATCGAAAATTTTGCTTGGACTATGATCTGCCTACTTGCAAAGGAGCAAAGGAAGAGGATGTCTTTACAACATGTTTTCGTATGGCTTTATCTTGCCCCTTCGTCTCTAGAAAGATGCGCTAATATCGTTGCCGCCACGTAGAACGAGATTCCAGAAAGGACCAAGCCATTGTGTTCATTTTCATTATCGCAACGGGTAGCCTTTTGGCCTGGGCAATTATGAAGCCCTGGGTAGGGAAATGGCTGGAGGTATGTACTGCAGTCTGCCTGTTGATGGCCTCGTGGACTTTGGCGATTCTGACACACTCTAGACTGCAAGAGAGCGACGATCATATATACCTATATTGGGGAATGCAACCCATTAGCTGGCTCCATGTTGCCAGCAGCTCCTAACAGATACACATAATTTCCACTTCGGACGCAAAGCATAATGCCACCGGATCTTCGAAAACCCGACTTATCGCGTCGGATTGGCTCCTGATATTGCCGTACATAACACACTGTCCATGGAGCTTTATCGATGCGACCTCATCAGAAAGAGGCGGATGTGCCCTGGTTGTATCCGAATGGCCCTCCAGATATCGTCTGACGAGGCATCAATCAGCAATGGCGGACAAAGGGAGACGGCACTGCCTTCTACATGTACTTAGATCATTACTGCGACCTGAATCAACTGACAACAGCGCCATCATCAACCTCGAACTACCGAGACCGACCCTCTATTCTCCTCTTCTGAAAACTGCCGTCACCGCCAGGCTCGAAACCAGAAAAGGTCATCGCCTTTCAAACTACTGTTCATATTTGCTTTGATTGCTTGAAACAGCATTTGTCCCATACCAGATGGACACCTACACGTCGTACCATGGTTCAGCTTTGGCAAAAACATCTTGACACGAGCATGACAACATTCTTGAGGCTTCCACGGTGACTCAAACACCCTTTTTATAATGCCATGCAAATTTAATCATTTTCAACAATTGTGTATTGTTTTCGTGAACGGAACCTCAAAAATGGTTGAGACACAATGCAGGTTTCCTGGTGCGGTTTCAGCTAAGTCTATAATGGCTTGGACATGGAATGTGCTGATTGTCCACTTGATGTTCGCCCGGTCTGGTCATGGGTGGTCAATTGGGGGTAATATCAAACAAGCTTTATTGGTGGAACAGGACTTTTGAAGTGCGGGGCTCGAAGGTGCAAGGCTAACCTTAACTTACCTGCCACAAATATTGTGCGGTAGTAGCCTAGTACTAGAAGGAGTAGAAACTAAATGCCGTGGTCATCTACCCGGTATGAGTTTATTTCTTTCGGTGCCAGTGGCGAGGCTCATATCCAGTCATTGACAAATTTCTTTTAGCAGGGAGAGATGGTTGCAAGTCAATAGAGCCCCAGAATTCGGTACAGTCACAGTCTTTCATTTCTAACCATTCCCTCCCCACATGAGTAAGGGTTCTGTAAATTGCCACTTTCACAAAGTTTGCGGATTTCAAAAGGTTGTTTGTATGAGTACATGCACTTTACATAGAATATGTGCCACAGGTCAGCATGGCCTCAGATCTGCGAGCGGACATAATTTGGCCTGTCGAGTTCGCCTGCTGATCGTCCAACTGTAGCAGGGGCAATTATACTCCGAGTTGATCTTAAGATAACTTACCTAGTGCAGTAAGACGGATTGACCTTTATAATCCGAAATGTACTGTCGATTACTCTGCCTGCGACTCATTGAATATGATTACACATATGTGCTCGTATCTTACAACTGCTGTACCACAATTTTCTGCTCGGTGGAAATTTGCACGAAGGGTTGTTCTGGTTGGGCAGGCTCAAGGTTGCCGGCAGACCGGGTAGTCCCTTGGATGAAGTACAGTGTGGCCAAGTACTAGGTACTGTACTTTATGCATACCTCGAGCAATTGCAGTCATGTTCGTCGGATTCATACTTTTATACTGTATAGTGGGTTCCACTCTAGGCCAACCTTCGCCTCTTCACCACGTTCCCTTTTCCTATTATTCTTTCCCCCTTCCCTCTCTCCATCATAAGTTCCTCTCTCTTCCCCATCCCACCTCCCCCAAAGCTCTTTATTTTCCATTCAGCACACTTTCCCTAGGCTAATCATCCTTTATCTATCACTTTGCACAACCGCTCTTTACAAACCTGCTCAAATCCTTGGCGATCATTCTGATATCCGTGTCTCCACTTCTACTCCCAGTCTGGGATCGAAATCGGAAGCTCGACCATAGAATCACTGCAGAAGAACATTCCTCGAGAGATCTTGCGTTATCCTTTATCAGCATAGATAACCAGCGCAGAAAAGGGAGATATAACATACACAAAAGTACCTTTCAACAGCAAATCGCAAGAGTCATTTTTCATTGAGAGGCGTTGTCTCGCGGAGGGCCTGCCGTAAGAGTCTTGGTTGATTCGTCCGAAGATGGTATTAACACAGCAGAGAAGAACATCTACCTCAGACGACGAATTTCCCACTGCTCAGCTTCTCCTGCTAGGTACGCAATGTCTTTGTTGCTCGAAACAGATGGTCTTACTAATGCCACTACTCATGTATTAGCAATATGTCGTATCGCAGAGCCCATTGCCCTCACATCCATCTTCCCGTACTCATGGGTCATGGTTAAGGACTTCAATGTGGCTGATGACAACAATGCGTCTTTCTATGCCGGTATTCTTGTCTCTACCTTCTCACTTTGTGAGGCTCTTACGGGCATGTTCTGGGGAAGCCTCTCGGATCGAGTCGGCCGCAAGCCTGTCCTTATTTCAGGCTGTTTCGGCACCATGGCATCTCTTCTCATGGTTGGATTCGCAACCAACTTTTGGGTAGCTTTGCTCGGTCGAGCTTTAGGTGGTGTACTCAACGGAAATATAGGGGTCATTCAGACCATGGTCGGCGAGTTGGTCAAAAATCCCGAACACGAACGTAAGCATTGGTCTACTTGACGGTTTCAGTGATCTGCAGTGTTGGAATTGTTTCTGATACTCCGTTCCTATAGCCCGAGCATATGCTATCATGCCGTTCTTCTGGTCAATTGGAACTATCATCGGCCCAGGTAAGCGCAAGCGTGTCTCATTGACATTAGGGGGGAGACCTCAAGCTCATCATATTCACAGCTATTGGAGGTCTACTCGCAAAGCCTGCGGAAGGCTATCCTACTTTTTTCTCTCAGAACGGGCTTTTTGGGACATTTCCCTTCCTGTTGCCTAATATGGTCTGCTCTGCTTTGCTTCTTTGCAGCATTATTTTTTGCTGGCTTCTACTGAACGAGACGCATCCCGATATGCAACTTCGAAATGGACTTGGAGCAGAGAGCCCTGATAGCACATCTGTCATACATCCTCTACTGGCCACTTCGGGATCAAGTACGACTGCAGGAGCTGATCTCCGAGCCGAGTCTTACGGGACTTTCAATCATGTGCACCTCCACGACGATCAGGATTGGCATGTGCGCTCTGATGGCTCGATAGACTCGAGTTCGCAAGGGAAGGTCGTCTTCACGTGGCAAGTGACCATGCTTGTTCTCGCCTTGGCGATATTCACCTATCACTCGATGACATACGATCATCTGCTGCCTATCTTCCTGCAAGATAAGAGGGCAGTCGACGTCAATTCATTGACTAGCCCGGCTCTTCGATTTCCCGGTGGAGTCGGTCTTTCGACTCAGTCCGTTGGTTTGATTATGTCTTGTGACGGTCTTATTGCGTTATTCATCCAAAGCCTTGTATTTCCAGTTTTGGCTCACTATCTGGGGGTGTGGCGCCTATTCGTCCTCGTCACCATTATGCACCCTCTTGCTTATTTCATGGTCCCGTTCTTAATTTACGTTCCTCACGCCTTCATCTTTACCGGTATCTTTGGATGCCTGGTTGTTCGCAATGTTCTTTCGATTATCGACTATCCAGTCCTCCTGATCCTCATCAAACAAGCCAGTCCTTCTGATTCGGTTCTGGGCAAGATCAACGGGCTCGCGGCCTCTGCGGGTGCACTCTCACGCACCTTGGCTCCGCCAATTGCCGGGTTCCTATACAGCACTGGTTTCAGGGTGCAATGTACGGCCCTCGCGTGGTGGGGAAGTACTCTAGTCGCCATTATTGGGTCAGTGCAAATGTGCTTCATTCAACAGAAGAAGCATGGTTCTGTTATAGTACAGCCTGCTGCGCACTGCCGTTATGCACCAGATTCATCTACGTGGAAGCAAGAAGCTGTTCATATCATCGTGACAGAAGCCGAAGCCGACATTGGTCATGAAGCCGAGAGGAACTCGCGTATGGTACAAGAGACTCAAATTCAGCAGCTCACTCCATAATCAGCGTCTCCTACCCTTGTCCCTGTTTTGTGCGATCTTACTTGCGGCATTAGTCGGGCTAAGCCGTACCTCGAATA